CCGGGCCCCGCCCCGCCCCTGCCATTGGCCGCTTAGACAACGCCCTAGTCTCCGCTCTACCCAGGAGGGGCTGTGACGCTCGACTCGGCCAATAGAGAGCCGCAATCGCCTAACCCCGCCCCTAGGGGAACCGCCCACCATTCCAGGGCGGTGATTGGCTACGGGAATTGAAGGCGGCCATGGATGGAAAGTCAGGGTTGGACACGCCTCCTAGGGGAGGAACGCAAGCGCCGCGTGTGTGGGCGGTGCTAGAGGGAGTCACGTGTACGAATTCCCGCGGGCGGCGGTTGCCCGTCACGTGACTTGGGCAAGATGGCGGCTCCCACGGAAGGTAAGAAGTGGAAGCACCAGGACTTGGACCGGATCTGCCTTGCGCGCGGAGCTGAGCTGCGGCGGCTTCTGGGCATCGGCCCCGCCCGCCCGGTTCCTGGGTCGCGTCTTGAGCGTGATGTGTCGTTACCCTGCGCCAGCCCCCTCCCCGCCGGCGACTCGGAGCCGGGGGGAAGGGTCTGGAGACCGGCCCGACCAGGCGGCCCCGCCCGGCACTGGAGAACGGGCACCGGGCAGCCCTGTCGTCGGGGCACGTCCCCGGACTGGAGCTGCTAGTCGCCTGTGTAATGCGCCGCGGTTGAGCCTTGCGAGGGCACCCTCTAGCCACAGCCCGTGGCCATGGCGTCTGGGGTGTCGCTGAGCCTGCGTGTGACATGTCCGGCTTCGGGGCGGGAGCGGTGTTTGTCTGACTGACTGACTGACTGACTGACTCCTTGGAGGGACAGATCTGGAAGCCTCCTTGCTGAGCTTTGAGAAGCTGGACCGAGCATCCCCAGACCTGTGGCCGGAGCAGCGTAAGTCAACCCTGATTCTCCTCCAGGGCTTGATGAGGTGGATTGGTCCTTCATGTGAAAGGAAACGAGAGTATCCAGTGCCCTGGTGAGAAGGGGAAAGACCCCTGGGTCACTGGAGTGCACTGCGACCTCCAGGCCCCCGCAACCTGGGATGGGTGTGTGTGTACCATGGAGTTATGGTTTGATGGTGTGGGGAGTGGCAGTTGGCAACTGTAAGTTTCATCTGATTGCCCATGTAAATGTTACTGGAGATGGTATCCAGTTTGAGCCCTAGTAGATTAGGATGTTCTCCATAACATTCTGATGCGGGTGCTTCTCAGGTTTTGTTCCCTTCACCTATGCATTTAAACTACGGTGATCTGCACTCCTTGGCTAGGTGGTGAAAATATAAGAAGTGAGGCTTGATAGGAACTCTTCCAGTACCTCTGTGTAAACTACTGACTAATAAACTAAGCTGATCTGCAATGGACACTTCCATGGCAAATAAGCAGGGAAAATCTTCCAAAGAGCATTCTGAATTTTTGTTACTCCTGCAGTATTCAAGAAACTGCAGTAGATGAGTTAGTGACTAATATTTAATGTAGTGAGGCAACATTTCCTATAGTACATGTGACTGGAGATTTTATCTAACTCTACTGCAGCTAGGAAGCTTAATTCCCAGTTTGATTGGCATTTGTACAATAATTCTGTTCAATGTAGCATATGAAAAAATATCAGCATGGCTATCAAACTATCTGCTTAGGGCAGGAGTGGCCAACCAGTTAGGGACAAAGAGCCAAAATATCTGTGGATATTTATTTTTATATATCTAGATAGATAGATAGCTATAGTACACAAAATATAGTGATTAAAAATAACATTACAGGACACTTCAGACAAAAATCAATAAAAAAGTCACTAGTCACTTTAAAAAATTAATCTCCAGTCCATAGATCTTCTGAGAACTTGACAAGGAGCAAACATCAAATTAAAAAATTTTTTTTTTAAAAACACAGCAATATTCTCACACTAAAAGAAAAGCATCCCTACCATGTATTTTAAATTTAACATTACTGCCCTAGTATGTCCTGTGATTTTTTTTTTTAATTAAACTGAACTGAGAAATAAATTAGCACAATTTGAAGTGTCTGTTTCACTCCAACTTCTGACCTCTGATATGGTTTCCTCAGTTTTTTTACTTCTAAAAATTCAGGTCTGTCCCAGACTGCAAATATGAGAGGTTCAAAAACAATAAGGCAGAGACACATATCTCAGAATAATTGGTTCAACCTGGCGAACAATAGCCTTTGAATTTTCTTTTAAGGAACACAGTGTAAACTAAGTGTATGCTGATTCTTTTTTGCCCTGGAATTTAAATATGACATCTGTGTTGGCTGCCTTTATTCTGCATCCATGAAGATAAGCCAGGCACCGTCAGCCCTCCCTGCTTTAACCCAATGCTTTCTCCCAGAGCCAGGCACCCCCAGCTCTCCCCTGCTCTAACCCAATCCCCTTCCCTCCCCCAGAGCCAGGCACCCCCCACTCTAACCCAATGCCTGGGTCCCAGAGCCGCTGTCGCCACACGCTTCTCCCTCCAGACACTGGGACGCATGCACAGAGCAGCTGGCTGCGAGCAGTCCAGGCGCACAGCTCAGAACTAGCAAGAGCCGCATTTCTTTAAGCAAAGAGCTGCATGCGGCTCAAGAGCTGTGGGTTAGGGCATCTGACAGGATTGCATTCAGGCAAATTGCCCATGATCTGTGTATCTATGCCAGGGTTTCCCAATCTTTTTACTTTAGTTCGAACCCTTTTTTTTAGTACTGTTTTTTGCAGCCCAAAAATATAAACCCATAAAAAACAAACTGAGAAAATACCAGACATATAACATGTCTCGTCTTTTCTCATTAGGTAAGTTTTATTATTATTAGATGTATCGGTTTGTAGTTTCGAACTGCCTAGCTGGTAAATGTGCTCAGGCTGCATGAGTGTGTCTACCAGCCAGACAGTTCGCAACTACTCGAGGGTGTGTGTTGTGGGGGGGCACAATAGAATCCCCGGGCCAGACTCACTAGTGCTTTGTGGGGGTGGGGAGAAGGGGAGCAGTGCCCCGAGATCTGCATATGGCCAGGTCAGTCCCGCTCCCTGCCGGCCGATTCTCTACCCCCCGGCTCCCCTCCCCACAGTAAGCCCCGCTCCCATTGACCCCCTCCCAGACAGCCCTGCTTCCTGCCGGCGGGG